GGCGGTTGGGGTGTCTACAGGATCCAGCCACCTCTGCTGCCACGCAGCCTGCTTCTGGGCCATGATGGCCGTGGGGTCCGAGACGACCTTCCCTGGAGAAAACGATTCTAAGGGGGCGGGCGGGTCTTGCTTTACATGTCGGTGCAGAATGCCTGGCTTCTTTTTCCACTGCTCCTTCACCCAACACTCAAAAGCACGGCGAGATGAAGCAATCCCACGAGAGTGCGCGCAGGCTGCAAGTCTATCCGCAGCCTCGACCAGTGCTGGAAGATCAATCTCGCTCTGAAGGCTGAGGTCAGGTAAGCAAGCGATCGTGGTGTCGCCGAGCTCCTGCATGCCTTTGTCTATAAAATCCGGCATGTCTTGCCCGTCAAGCTGCTCGCATTGCTTGCGCAACTTGCACATGCACTGCCGTAACTGTCTCTCGTCTTTGCCAGAGAATCGTAGGGAACACACATATTTTGAGGAGCGTGGTGGAAACCGCCCACCATTCAGCAGGGCCGGTAACCAGGTGGGCTCGGCCTGGTGAGGCCCTAGATTTCTGCCAAAACAAGGAAAACCTCTGTGCGCGTCCCTGGAACGGCCCCCGTTCATCCTCATCAACTCTGGGCGCCATCAGAATGGAAACCTCCACTCTAGCGACCCAGCGAGCATAGCTATGGTTAACCCTCTGCGTCGCCTCAGGCCGCGCCGCATGCAAAAAGGCGGCGAGCAACTCCATTGCTCTCCAACTCCTGGCCAGTAAAAGACTCGGCTGATGAACGCGGCTCGCCCACAAGCAAGCACGCCTGCGTCCACGCCTCAGCGGAGACACGGTACTCGACTACGTCCTCCTGAGGTACATTCAGAGCTGGTGGAGGGTGGGCCAGATCAAAAGCCTCCTGCAGCTCTGAAGCTAGTCTGCCGCGTCGAGCAAGCCGTGCTTCTTCTCGTCGCAGGGAACTCTTGCTCGCGGGGTCGGATTTCTTCCTGGGCCTATCGACTTGCGGCAACTCCTTCGGCAGGCGCAGCTTCCTGTGCCAGGTCGGCTGCTCGGACCCCTCGAACGAGACCGCGATGCCGCAATGGGTCTTCCATGGCACAGCAAGCACTAGGGTGAGGGCCACCCTGTCCTTCAAGCCCTCGCTGACAATCGCGACATGGATCATGGAGCCCTGACCGCTATCGCATGTGATGGCACAAGGAGGGGTCAGCACCACCCCCCGCATGAACTCCTGAATGCGGGCCTGCGCGATCTGCGACGGGGAATGGTTCCAGTCTCCTACGGTAACATAAGGGCCAGCCAAGCTCCTCACGAAAGAGACGAGAGCCCTCAGCGTCTTCACATTAGGCCCGTTCGTGAGCCCAAAATTGGGGGCGAGGTAGGTGCAGATCAACACCACGTTGCCACCCTTCATATGCCAGACAAGAGCCGAGAAACCATGGAAGGGGCTAGCTGCCCCGCTAGCGCGGTACTTGGTGAGGTACTCAAAGGAAGATGTCGCCACATGGGTGCGCGCCAGGATGGCTTCACCTGCTGATGTGCCAGTCTCAGATCGCCCGCTATTCCTGGCGGGTGTGGCGACCATCTTCCAACCGTCCTTCCTCGCCGCTGTCTGCACCTCGGAGGTGAGCTCTTCGCTGAGGTGAGTCTCGACGAACATGCACACATTAAGCTCCCTCTGGTTCGCCACGAACTTGTGGATCTTAGAGCCCCACTCGGTAATGTTACCGCGCAGCGCCGAGACGCGATGACGACCACCTCTGGGTCGGCTCACCAGCTCGGCCACGTCCATCTTCGTCCAGGGCGCCTGCTCTCGCTTGAGCTCCACCTCGGGCCATGCCTGGTGCTGCTTGAGGGGGGCCGCCTGCTCTTCCCCCGCCGTATTGTCCATCGCAGGCTCGGCCCCCTGCTCCATTACATGTGCTAGGGGATCTTGAACGCCCCCTGCCTGTAAACTGTCGAGGTACCCATCCAAATCACCAAAGAGATCCTGATCCTCTGCAGCTGGGCCTTCGCAGTCCCCCTGAGGGCTCCACCCGTCGGCGGCCCTGGGGATGCGCTCATCGGGAAGGAGGGTCTCGGCCACCCGCGCGTCCGCGGCCCCCTGCTTCCGATGGTGGGCCACGTTGCTGCTTTCATGCCGAGTCTGTGACTCTTCCAGCCTATGCACCTCCGAACTCGATGGGGCGTCCTGACTGTGTGTTTTTTTTCGAAGCTGCATCAAGCGCTGGTGGGGATGAGGGCGTCGCTGTCGGCGATCTCGCCCACGTCGGTGTAGGGAGAGCCGTCGAAGGGGTACCAGCGTCCCACTTCTCGGCACCGTCGCCATGCTTACTGGCGTCCAGGCACGTGGTCCACTGGCCAGCTCTCTGCTTGAGCTGGTCTGCTGTACTCTGCTGCACTGGTCGGTCCCAATCCTTGGGCGAGCGGCGACCTTGTACACGGACGTCATGTGCAGCGGGGCCTTCGCTGTCTCCCTGCAGGCCCCACCCGTCGGCGGCCTGGGAGACGCGCTCATCGGGAAGGAGGGTCCCGGCCACCCGCGCGCCCGCGGCCTCCTGCTTGCGGTGGTGGGCCCCGCTGCTGGCAGACGCCGCCCTGCAGGTCCTTGCGGCTTGCTCTGCCCTGGAGGTGAGTGCGGGGCCCGAAGCCGCCCGCTCTGCCTCTTGGGTGAGTGCGAAGCCCGATGATGCGGCTAGCTCTGCCGCAGGGGTGAGTGCAGGTCCCGTAGCCGCTCGCTCTGCCGCCGCAGTGAGTGCTGAGCCCGATGGCCTGGGAATCGGTACCCGTGAGCCAGCCCAACATTGCACGTCAAAGCCCCTGCTTGTCGCCTTTGGCTGCTGCCAACAACCGCTGGACCTTGCCCTCGAACGTCGATCCCTCTCCTGCGGCACTAGCAGCATGCTCGCCAGGCACAGGAATGCTCTCAGCGGCCCGAGCAGTCGCATTGCTCGCCGATGAAGCGGCACTGGCTGCCTCTGCCGCGGGAGCAGCGGCATGCACCCGAGCATCAGCTGGGGGCTCTCCTGGCTGCTCGTTGGCTGGGGGAGCCTCCTCGCGCCGCTGCCGCTTGGCCTTGAGCCGCTGACGCATTTCGTCGGCCTCTTTCCTGCATTGGCCGAGGTTGCTGGCCGTCTCTCCGAAGAGCTCGCCAATATGTTGCTTGAGCTCCGACGCGAAGCGCGTCTGCAACGCCAGGAGCGCCTCTTTCTCGCCCTCGTCCACCTCGAGCCCATCCAGGGAGAACGCGGGCCCCGCCTCGAAGTGGACCTCGTCGCTCTCGAGGATGGCCGTGAGGTTGAGCGTGGCTGCTGGCTTGGACACCTCGCTGGGAACCTCAGCTGGGCGCACCTGCCCGCGCGCGCGCTGCAAAGCCCGAGGCGCCTCCTCAGCCCGCTCCTGCGCACGGACAGCCTCCTGGGCCGCATGCAAGGCTGCCTCCTTGCGCTCCAAGTACCAGTCGTGCGCCTTGACCTCAGACTCCAACGCCTTGTCCAGGGCCTGCTTGGCTTTGCGCTCCTGCGTACGCTGCTGCTGGTACTCCTGGTTGGGGTCCCTTTGCACCACTGGCGGCGGCAACTGCTGCTTGAGCCCCTCGATCGCTGACGGGTCGAGGTGCGGAGCCGCCTCCTGCAGAGCCTCGAGTAGCTGCTCAGGCGTCTGGACCTCCTGCTTGTGCTCGTCACCCTGCGCACCGCCTTTCTTGCGTTGACGGCGCGACTTGGGCCATTCGCTCCACTCCTTCCAGCCGCCATCACGCTGCTCTCCACGAGGTGCTTCCTGGTAGCGGTTGTCCCAGACTCCCCGTGATGGCTCCGATGCTGATGGTCCTGTCCGCCACGGCGGTGGCGGCCCTCCAAGCTCCATTTGCTTGCCGCAATTGAAGCACTCCTTGCGGTTTTTCCGCGTCCACTTGTATCCACATGACACGCATTTGACGAACCCATTTGCCTGGACCATGGGCTCGACAGTGAGGGCGCTAGTGAACCCCTCGCCCCAGATACGCACTCCGATAGGAGCCGCTGGTCGCGCACTGGGGAACGAGGGACCTCCGTAAAGGATGAAAGCTGCCGCGGACTAGCGGTATCCAGTTTTGCCAATGCGGGCTCCGCCCGCCAAAGCATAGCCTTGAGCCAAAATGGCTACGGAATATATGAGGAGGAGGAGGAGAAGGAGGATCAGGAGGAGGAGGAGGAGGAGGAGGACCCCGACGCCCACACACGGAGCAGGACGAGCTGAGACAACGGCAGCTCAAAATCGATCCCTGGACCCCTCCATGGGTTCAAACGCGCCAGTTTCCAGAACTGCGTCCAGCCGCGGAGAGAAGGCGCCCCCCCCTCCTGAAGTCCAACTACCGTCGCCTCCACTCGCGCATTAGTTTTCGGATCATAGCTCGGCTCTCCAACGGCCGTTCCCCCTGGGAGTCGAACTACCGTCGTCTCCACTCGCCCTCCTCTGACACTAGAGGCCTCCCAAATGGGATCAGATGATCGCGCCGCATCGCCGATGCATCTACGATGCATCGGCGCTGCATCGGCGACGTCGGCGGTGCATCGGCGACGCGGTCGTGGAAGAAGTCTAGCTCCACATCGAGCCGCATCGCCAATGTATCGGCGCCGCGGAGCGATCCTCCGACCTCATCTACTCGGGCCAAAACCGGGATGCCTAGAGACACACTCTCGCAGCGCCCGCGCGCGCCCGCACGCGTCCTCGCTCCCGATCTACTACTGGGCCGACGGGAGTACTACTCCGGTGGGGTCGTTCGGCAACGCTGTCTTCACAGACGGGTCGGGACTGGCCCCGTCGATTCCGGAGCTCAGGCGCTGCGGCCAGGCGGTGGTGCAGTTCTCCAGCCCACAGCGCGCCCACAGTGGAGCGCCCACAGCGGAGCGCCCACAGCGGCGCGCCCACAGCGGCGCGCCCGCAGCGCGCCCACAGCGCGGCACCCGTCGCTCCCGTCGGCCGCCTCCGCGCGCAGCGGGGAACTGGGCCGCCCCTGGGGGGCCGCGCGTGCCCGTCACGGGCCTGCGCCGCGGCGCTCCCCAGCCGACGGGCGCGCTGCCAGCGCGGGTCTGCCTTCGGGCGTCTGCCGACCCGGGCCAGCCAGCCAGCCAGGTTTTGCAAGATCCTGCAGGGTCCCTGCAGGGAGCGTGACCTCACCCGGGTGACTGCGCCCCTGGCCCCGCAAGATCCTGCAGGATCTGGCGCTCTGGCTGACCCCCGTTTGCACTGAGCCCCGTCCCAGGGCTCCCGAGGCCGAGGCTGGTCGACGCCAAGCGACGCCAGTCGACGCTACGTCGGCGCTTTCTCATCGGTTTATCAGACGCTAGCGCACGCTGACGCAGTAGAAATATGGGATTCGAGAGCTCGCAAGACTGCCATGCTTCACCACCGAAAGAAAGCACCACTGCATAAAGTGAGCATGTGGCTTCTCTGGGGCTCTGGTCAGCGGGATGAGTGGCTGCGGCTCCAGCTGATCGTGCTCCTGCAGCTGCCTCCCGGTCCCCCAACCCGCCTCATCATTCACCCCGCTCACAGGAACCTCGGACAAGCCCGAGCAGAATGAGCACAAACTGGCGGAGGTCCGTCTGGATTTCCTGGACCGGCACTGGGCCGCCCTCCCTGGAGCGCGGAGCGCGCCAGAGACGCCAAAATCGCCGCCAGGGGAGGCCAGCGTCGATGCAAGAAATCCGTGCGCACCTCCGAAAGTTTCTTCCGCGCCATCTTTTTGGTATGGGGGTTGAGCAGGGACCGACCGTCCCAGCATTCCTATAGGCCTACCACGAAATGTTCTTAAAACCCCAAGTTCCTAGAACATTTGCCCGATGTGCTAAAACAAGACAGTCCCAGCCAGAGATGTTCTTGAAACATTGTTTGGTAGGCACATAGGTTCTCAGAACATTGTTTGGTAGGCATATAGGCACGCCGGGACGCTTCGTCAGTGCTCGAGGGGGGGAACAGGAAGGGAGAGGAACACGCGGTCCACCGCATCACCCCGTCATCTGGTGGCCGAGCGCGCGCAGCCTCCCCCAGCCTGCCAGGCCCGATACGGACAAAAACGCTCGTCCTCTCCGCCTTCGTCCTCGGAGGACGAGGAGTGCGAGGGTGAGGAGAACGAGGGCGGAGACGGCCGGAGGGCGAAGAGGCGCGACTCTGCTGCCCGGCCACGCCTCTGGATGCAGAGTCCGCCGTGGCGACCCCGGGGCTGGAGCCCCCCGAGGCCCTGGAAGGGTTCTGGCGATGCTGGCGTGTGTGGAGGTCCCGTGAAGCATACAGATTGCCCCCGCCACCCCGGCGGGGCGCCGCCCGGGCCGGTGCGAGCGGCTGCCGCGCGGCGTCCGAGGCGGCCTGCTGCATCGCACCCCGCCACCTCCCCCTCTGCCCTCCCGCCTTCCTCGCTCCGCTCTCCTGCTCCAACCGCTCGCCCTCCTGCCCTGTTACTCCTCCTCCTCCTCCTCCTCCTCCTCATCCTCCTCCTCCTCCTCCTCCTCCTCCTGCCCCAGTGTTTCTCCTGTCCTCCTCCGCCGCCTCCCCCTCCCCCTCCTCCCCCTCCTCCTCCTCCTCTCCTCCTCCTCCTCCTCCTCCTCCTCCTCCTCCTCCTCCTCCTCCTCGCCCTCGTCTCGTCCTCGTCCTCGTCTCCTCCTCCTCCTCCTCCTCCTCCTCCTCCTCCTCCTTCGTTTCATTATTCTCTTCATCATCCTCCTGATCTCATCCGTCCTCCTACGCCCTCCTTCCTCCATCTCCTCCCCTCCTCCTCCGCCTCCTTCTCCTCCTCCTCCTCGCCCTCCTCCTCCTGCTTTCCTCCTGCTCTCCTCCTCCTCCTCCTCCTCCTCCTCCTCCTCCTCCTCCTCCTCTCCTCCTCCTCCTCCTCCTCCTCCTCCTCCTCCTCCTCCTACTCCTACTCTTACTCCTACCATTATTCCTTTTTAGAATTTACTCTTGCTCCCCCGTCTGGCCGGCCGATAAGGGTTCCATCCAGGCCCTTCCATGCTAACAGTAAAAAACGACAACAAAATCGTCGAGCGCCTAAGGCACCCTGGGGCCTCCCAGGGTCTCCTGGGACATCCTGGGGCTTCGCGGGGCTCCACCAAGGCCTCGTGGATCCTCCAGGAGCCTCCTGAGGCATGCTGGGATTCCCCTGGGGCTTCCTGACACTTCCGAGGGCTTCCTGAAGCCTCCTGGAATTACTTGGGACTTCCTGGACCCCCTGAAGCCTCATGGGGCTTCCTGGGGGTCGTTGGGGCGAGGCCTCCTGGGGCCTCCTGAGGCTTCCGGGGGCCTCCTCGGCTCGTGCTGAAATGCCAGCGCAGTCTTTGAGACGCGCCAGGGATTTCTTAGCGGTAACCGCCATCGCGGCTGCATCAGCTGTGGTAAACCACCTTGCCGATCTGATGTCGGTCCCCATTTGCGCCAGCATTGTTTCTTATGTTGTGGGAAGGCGCGTGAGAGTGGGCATGTCATGCTTGACTCGCTCGAGCTGGCTAGCTTGACTCCTAGTCCTACTCCTACTCCTATCACTATTCCTTCTTAGAATATACTCTTACTCCCCCCTCTGGTCGGCCGATAGCGCTTCCATCCGGGCCCTCCCATCCTAATTGCAAAAAACGAATACAACGTCGCCGTTGTTCTCTCAGCATGGCCTTCCTTGTCGTCGGCGATGCGAAATGCGTAGAAGGAACAAGAGGCGGCGCACATCGCGCGCGGCAATCTGGGCCCTCCCATCCCAACTGCAATAAAAGCATTACGAAGTCGTCGTTGTTTCTCTCCACATGGCCTGCCTTGTCGTCGGCGATGCGAAATGCGTAGCAGGAACGGGACGCGGCGCACATCGCGCGCGGACGTCTGGGGCAACCCCAATTGAGCGGGAAGGGCCATCCTACCTGTCAAAAGGCATACAACGTCGACATGTTTCCTCTCAGTGGGGATTTTCTTGTCGTCTGCTTTGCGAAATGCGTGGCAGGAAGGGGGCGCGGTGCACATCGCGCGCGACAGGGCGAAATCTCCTCCTCGCTTCGGCGCCACGCGCATGTTTTCTGAAACTTGCGCTCCCGCTAAGGCGCGGCGCACATTTTTCGCTCGCCAATTCGTCGAGCGCCTAGGGCCCCCTGGGGCCTCCCAAGGTCTCCTGGGACATCCTGGAGCTTCCTGGGGCTCTCTCAAAACCTCGTGAATCCTCCTGGAGCCTCCTGAGGCATCCTGGGGCTTCCTGGGATTCCCCTGGGGCTTCCTGACACTTCCTAGGGCTTCCTGAAGCCTCCAGGAATTACCTGGGACTTCCTGGGCCCTCTTGAAGCCTCATGGGGCTTACTGGGGGTCGCTGGGGCTTCTCCTGAGGCTTCCTGGGACCTCCTGAGGCTTCCGGGGGCCTCCTAGGCTCGTGCTGAAATGCCAGCGCAGTCTTTGAGACGCGCCAGGGATTATTTAGCGGAACCGCCATCGCAGCTGCATCAGCTGTGGTAAACCACCTTGCCAATCTGATTTCGGTCCCCAGTTGCGCCAGCACTGTTTGTTAAGATGTGGGAGGGCGTTCCTCCTCGAACCCCCGCCTGACGGCCAATTCCTGGCCTTGCGGGGCACTCCGCGATGCACACCTCAACGGACATCTGCAGGCCGGGGCGCGCCGGCGCCGCTGCGTCCGCCGCGGCGCCCCCCTGCCAAGGGGCGGGCGGCAAAACTGGGGGGAAGGGGGAGAGAGAGTTTCTTGCTCCTCCTTCTCCTCCTGCTCTCCTCCTGCTCTCCTCCAGCTCCTCCTCCCTGCTTGAACCCTCAAGCACTCTGGTTCAAGATGGGAGTTACCGCTTGACTCGAACCCACATCCAAATGAACACTCTGGTTCGAACAGCCCCCTGGCAGCAGGGGCACTCAGAACCAGCTCCCGCGCCTCCACGGGGTGCTTGGCAGACGGCGGATCTGCCGCGTGGGCGCACAGCAGGTTCCGTCGACGAAAGCGGGCACGCGCTTTGATCTCCAGGGCAGTCATGGCGTTCGAGCACATGCGCGGGGCGCGGCAATCATGAGCTCAACTGTCGCACCTTCAACAGGACACTCAAACTGTAAACGCCTCAGCCGACCAGGCACATCAGCTTCGACCTCACGTCGGACGGCAAGGCGCAGTCTGGCAACAAGGTCAAGGGAGCAAGAGCGGCGCGGGCGTGGGCGGTAGCAAGCAGGCGAGTTCGTCGGGCACGCAGCCGGCGGTGGACTTGCTGGACCCTGCCGTCAGCGCCACCACGGATACGGCGGTCAAGCAGGTGCTCATAGGGCCAGCAGGCGCTCCTCGCCTTGCACTGTAGCACGTCGGCGCAGCCCAGCGTCAGCGCTGACGAAGCCGTCCGCAAGGCATCAGGCATCTGGCGTGATGCGGAGGCCAAGCCCCAGCAGGCGGCCTTCCATGTGTGTAGGTGCAAGGTCAACCTTGCCAAGGCGGAGGCGCGCGAGAAGGAGCTCGCCCAGGCCGTCGCCGAGGCGGAGGTCAGCAAGCAGGTGGCCATTCCAGGGCTCGCCAAGTCTTCAGGGCTGTAGGTCTGCGAGGGCGAAGTGACCTCGGATGGCAAGAAGGGCAAGGAGTCCGACTTGGTCAAGGTCGTCTGGGATACCGCCTTCTTTGATAGTCTGGACGCGCTGGGCTGCGAGGAGACGCAACACATGTACATCGAGAAACAGCTCAGAGAGGCGCAAGCGGCCATGCCGACCCGTTCAGACAGTGGCACACACAATGGCTGGAGCGCACGAAGGCTCCGCGCGCGAGGGAGGGGGGTCCAGTGCCGATCCGAGACATCCACGCGGACCTCTGAGCTCTTATGTTTATGTCCTTCTTCGTTCCCCCACTCAAGCCGGAAACAAGAGCGCGGGTGCTGGCGGGGGCTCGGGCACAAATAGAGCGGCATCGGCGGCGGCAGCCTCCGCTGGCGACGGCACGGCGGCGGCGGCTGGAGCCGCAGAGGGGGGCGCCGCGGCGGAGGACGTCGCAGCCAAGGCTGCCGCCGTCGGCGATGCCTAGTTCTGGCCATCGCTCGGACGTCCATTCCCTGTGCTTGTTTCGATTTCGTGCGTCGCATGTTTCGCCAAATGATCAAGGATGCTCCTCGATGGTCCTCGCCGAAGGAAAAAAGGCACACGTCCGAGCGATGCCAAGAGTTCCGCGCGACCGAGGAGGCCAATGCGGCAGAGGCCGCTGCGCTGTCCAAGGCGGCGGGCACCGCCGTGCCAAAGTGGGTGTCGAGATCCGGGGGCGCCGTGGGCAAGCGTGCACTTGCTCAGGAGCACGGCGTCACCTGCGGCGTCGCCTCCTCCGCTTCAGCTGCACCTACCTCTGCGGGCGGCGATGTGGCAGCTGCTGGCACTCGCGATGATAGCAGCATCGTATCCTTCGCCAACGTCACTTGCCTGGGCAAGCACGCCTGAACACACATGCAGAGTCTGCATAAGAGTGATAAGCCTTCCGGCTTCAACGGGCTCGTCGAGACCGATCGTGGGGAGTCAACGGCGATAAAAGTGGCGCAAGCAGATCAACGACAGCTAATTCAAGTTCGCTATGAATCCAGGGACACTGGCAATGGGTCTACCGCTGCCCAGCGCGATCGAGCCAACGAGGGCGGCGAGATCCTGTTGTCGAGGCAGCAAAGGCATGCTCATCGACTTCCAATCTCGTCGGATGACCTCATCGAGCTGTGCGCGGACCGCCGCTCGAATTTCGACGGCTTCGTGCCGACCACCCACACATACGCTCGTTTGCGCTGCGGGGGAAGGGGGGCGAACCCCCGCAACGGACGTCACATGTTCACCTGATAGCAAGCATGCTCAGCTCACCATAATCAGAGCAACCACCATCATGAACACCCGACCACGTATGAGGCGGAAGGGTGGGCCATGATGGAGATCACCGTTGGGCAGCGGGAAAAGACGTTGCCAGAGAGAGTGCGCGGCCATGGAGGGTAACAGGCCGGACCGCTCCGCAGCCGCACAGGCTCATTTCCTCCCTTCGCCTCCCGTACCCTCCCTCCGCTCCATTCCCCCCCTCCCTTCTCTCCGCTCCCTCCCCTCCGCTCCCCTCCCCTCCCCTCCCTTCCACAATTACACAATGTGAATACTACTCGCCCCTCTCCCCGAATGACGTCCAGAAGATGTCAGGCCCCCCTCCGCGTATTGTTTTTACACACACGATTCCTGGGAAATGGGTTTTCGCTTTGGTTGTTGTTTCCCAACATGTTGTTCCCGCTGAATCGCTGGCTTCATTTCTGCGCCTCTGGTTGTTCCAAATCGTGCTACCGCTGCAGCGCGGGCGTTTTAGGCCCTTCCAAACAAGCCCCAAAATCTACAAAATGCCCCCCCCGGAAAAACAGTCGGAAGTGATTACACATTCGGTGTCGATTCGTTAATTTCTTGCTCAGGAAGTATCCAGCGGGAGCCCCGGTTCTGCTTTCAGAAGGCAACGTTGAAAGCACAGCAAGCGGGTGCTCTACATCAGCCCAGCCTTGTGTGGAGCTTTTCGGGGAGCCCAATGAGAGCTAGACATTGAGCCACGACTCCAGACCAGCCCAAACCTCTCGAAGACGAGCCGCTTACCCTCCAAGGAGCCCGGCGCCATGCCATGACATTCTGTGCGGAGTTGTGTTCTGCTCCGCTGTGCGATGCCATGCTTCGCATTGCAATGATTATTATAATGAATTGTGATGCATTGCTTCACTGCGCAATGCCACGCCATGCTGTGGGATGCTACGCTCTGCCGTGCCCATCTACGTCATGCCATGCCGTGCTATACCATGCATCGCGTACCCTCTCGCGATCATTGCCCTGCTCGATATCCGACTGTGCGGATAGAAAGGATATATACGCCATGGTAAGGGATGGGAGGGAGTAGGACGTTAGAAATGATGCGAGCGCACCTGGCTTGCCTCCCTCCCCCTCCTCCCCTCCCCTCCTCTCCCCTCCCTCCCCGCCCTTCACCTCCCTTCCCCTCCGCTGCGCTCCCTTCCCCTCCCCCTCGCCGTCTCTCCCTCCCCTCCGCTCCCGCTGCTCATCTCCCGGGAGGCAGGGGCAGGTGGACGGGGCCGCCTTCGGAGCCCGCCCCGCGCCGCCGCCCCACGCGGCCCCCCTCTGCCTGGCCTCGGCGGCGCGGTGCGACTCGGCGCGGGAGAAGCGCGCGGACTCACCTCGCAGGGCGCTCCTCCTGAGCTCCCTCTCTGGGTCGCACAGGGGCATCCCAGTACTGTGTGTCCTCCTTGGAGGCGTGCGCCCGACTCGAGCATCTAGTATAGCGTCCTTGTAGTAGATCGTTTCCCGAGCGGCGTGGCCAGAAAGCGCCCGCCATGACGCATATACTCTAATTTTTTTCTTGCGCGCGTCGCCCCTGGGAGGAGCGACGCACAGATAGCACTCGTATGCTGGGGTGACGCCGATCCTACGCTCCCTCTCCTGTAGAATTCCTGCAGGATTCATGTCGGATCCCTGTGGGATCCCTGTCGGCCTCTTGCAGCACCTCCATGGCGTTTGCAAGCTGCGGCAACAGCACGCCCATGGCCCTGCTGCTGACAAAGCGATGGGAAGACAGGCCCCCGCACGTCACCTTCACACACCACCTCCGTGTCTGATGTGTGAACTCGCGCGCGCAAGCGCATTGGAGGCGTATGCCATACACACGGAAACCCGCAACTCAACACATCGCACTCGTGAGCTCCAGTTCCCCGAACCCGTGCTCGCACTTCGGGGTTTTCTTACACACACACAAAGGGTTCTGCATGGGTACCCCGGGCTTTCGGCAGGTGCCCGGCTGGTGGGCGCCTCGTGGGCACCCCGCGCCCGTGCATCTGCACCACATGGCTTGCAGAACAGAGCTTGCACTGTCACCATACAGCTTGCCGCATACCACATAGCTCACCCAGCATGGTGCACCACGAACCTCACACCACAGATACTACACAGTATCAGAGTGAGGGGGCCGAACGGTCGTTCACTGTCCCTGGGTGCGTGGCTGAAGTGGGCTTCCGCGGTGCGGATTGCTGTTGTTGAGTGTTGTCGTCGTCCAACCACGCACCCGCGACCCACCCACGACTCACCCGGACCCACTCCACGACCCACCCGCGACCCACCCGCGAACAACCCGCGACCCACCCGCGACCCACGCGCGACCCGCGACCCACCCGCGACCCACGCGCGACCCGCGACCCACCCACGACCAACCGCGCAACCCGCCCGCCACCCACCCGCGACCCGCCCGCGCGACCCACCCGCGACCCACCCGCGACCCACCCGCGACGCACCCGCGACCCACCCGCGACCCACCCGCGACTCACCCGGCGACCCACCCGACCCACCCCACGAACCACCCGCGAATCGCTCACGAACCACGCGCAACCTACCCCGCGCCCGCCCCCTCACTCTTATCCGCAACTGCTGGGTGCGAATGTAGCCCAAACATATTCGTTCACGCCACATAGCTTATCGCAGCTTGCACCGCATGTGTTGCACAATATAGCCCGCAAGAGATAAACTCACGCCATATGCGTTACACAACGTGGGTTACATCACATACGGTGCACAAAATGGCTTGCACCATATGCTCGTACCGCAAAGCTTAAACGAGACAGCTTACACCACATAGCTGACCCAACATATCGCCCCCCTCCACAATCCAACAACTCCTTCGGGTCTACTCTTCAGGGCTTAATTTGAACGCATACGAACAAACGTTGCATTGCTATTGCATCCAAAGTCTGCGATGCCGAAATGTTCATGGAAGCATACGCGCATTCGAGCACAATTGGTATACAAATGTTCAGCTTGTCTTCTGATTGCGCTCGAGCTGTCTGATGATTGTGTGCCAGAACTGGCCGGACCTGGATTCGAAACCGAACTCTTAACCCTGAACATGATCGACCCACGAACCCGGAAAGGAATATAGAAATGTAAGGCATGGCAACGTTTCACAGACACCTGTTTGGGCGACGGGCGGTTGCAATGCTGAGTGTATCGATGCTGATATACCGTGCCGAGGGCTATGCTGTGCTACGCCGTGCTGAGCTGCGATGTGCCATGCCGCGATTGTGCTACTCAGCGTTGTGGATCAAGTCCTCCTTTGCATCCGAGTCCTGACCAAACTGATCTGGATCTTAAGCTCGAGCTGCCTGAGCACATAGTAGCTGCCCTATGAGGACGCGCCGCGGAACGTCCCAAGGGACGCGCCAGGCGACGTGCCAAGGGACGTGCCATAAGGACGCACCGCAGAGCGTGCCAAGGGGACACCCTCCGAAACGTGCCAGTGAACGTACCACGGGACGTGCCAGGGGACGCGCCGCGCAATATGCCATGAGGACTCGCCACGGGACGCGCCACTGAACATGCCAGGGAACATGCCAGACTGCAATGCTCAGTGTATCGATCCTAACGTACCGTGCCCAAGTCTGTGCTGTGCTGCGCCGTGCTGAATTGCGATGTGCCATGCCGCGATTGTGCTCTATAGCGTTGTGGATCAAGTCCTCCTTTGCATCCGAGTCCTGACCGAACTGATCTGGATCTTAAGCTCGAGCTGCCTGAGCACATAGTAGCTGCCCCAGAGCTAATTGACAGGGGGGCATGCCAGCCGCGGAACGCCCCAAGGGACGCGCCAGGCGAGGTGCCAGGGGACGTGCCATGGGGACGCACTGCGGGACCTGCCAAGGGGACGCGCTAAGCAACGTGCTGGGGCAAGCGCTTCGCTCGAGGCATCCTGCCTAAAGCCTCATGCTAGGCATCCGCCTGGGCGACCTGGACACCTGGAAGCAAACGTTTCGCTCAACACGTCCTCAACACATTCTCATGCCAGACATCCGCCTGGGCGAACTGGACACGTGAAAACAGATGGTTCATTCGAGACATCCTCAACACAACTTCATACTAGACGTCCGCCTGGGTGACCTGGGCACGTGAAAACAAGCGTTTTGCTCGAAACGTTCTCAACACC